AAAAAAAATTTATTTAATTGCCTGGGATAAGAAACGTGGGTTACTGGTGGGCCCCCCCCCCCCCGCGGCCACTATTAGTTTCATTGCTATGTAGCGTTCCATCACGTCCATTTCCACATGTTCACAATCTATGGGGCCGTCCATAAAGCACGTCCCATTCCACAGGGGAGAAGAAAGTGTGACAGTTTGTGACCCGGGGGGGGGGGTTTCAGGCCATGTGAGACGTCACACATTTATTTTTTTAATTTTATTTCTAATTTATTTTTTATTATTTTAGTGGAATTTAATAGCTTTAAAAATAATGTTCACATTTTTTTGTATCATTTGAATTAGTTTGACGTCAAAATAGCATGAAATGCGTATCTCCTGAATGTGTTGTTCACGATTCCTCTCGCTTGGAGCGCTAGTATGCTGTGGCGAAGCCTTGTTTTATGTAAAGCCTTGCTTTCGTCTTTCCTGAAGTATTATTATTTCTATGTTGTCCGCTGCATAATTATGTCACTGTCCTTTTTATTATTTCATCATTTGGTGAGGTCAAGTTTCTCTAATATACTTGTGTAAAAAGGTTTCATAAGCGGAAGATTATCTAAAACTTGACCTCACCTATTGTACATGAAAAAGCAGCAGATAAATGATGTGTATTATACAATTGTCTAGTCTAATTTTTGCCATTTTTGTTTTCAAATTCTATCTAGATTGAGTTACTGCTTCAATGAATAACTGCGACAACTGTTGACAATTAAATGTTCTACTATTAAAGTCATTTTAATAATGTGATACTGGATATTAAGTGGGAAATTGTATATTTTAATACAGTTTAATAGTGAAGTTTGTTTTAGATTAAATTTTAATAAGGTGTTATTTTTTTTAAAAAAATTTTTCGAAAGTGTGACGTACTTTAGGGGAAGGTGGGGTCCGAGATTTGTAACTGTTTGTGACAGGGGGGAGGGGGGGGGTAAAAATGGTCAAAAATAGCTTGACGCACTTTATGAACGGCCCCTATTCTTAAAGTCAGCTTTCAAATTTAAAAAAAAAAAAGAATTTATAAACTTGATATCACAATTTGTTATCTAAATTGGAAAAAAAAAAGAAAAGAATAATGACGCCAGTAAATAGTTTGTGTCCCTAATTCGTCCAATAATTCATCAAGACCATTTGTAGCAAGAGACAAAAAATGTCTTCGTCTCTGTAAACCCCCCCCCCCCCCCCCCCCCCCCCGGAATCTGAGACTGAAACTCCGTCATCTTCTCAGCAGGCCTGAACCTCATGCTGAAACCGAAGCCATCGACAGCGTTGACTTCAGCAAAGTTGTCCACTTTATTGTAGGTAACATTGAACTGGGAGGGGGGGGGAAGGATTTGTTCAAATAAATATTTTTTAAAAATATCTCACAAGAAAAAAAAAAACAGAGTAATAAATCAATAGGTGAGTAAGCCAGAGAAAGAGTGAGTCAGCAAGAGAGAGTGAGTCAGCAAGAAAGAACGAGAGTAAGCCAGAGAGAAAGTTATTTGGCAAGAAAGAGAGTGAGAGAGAGAGAGAGAGAGAGAGAGAAAGAAAATCGGTCTAATGAGTATATAAAGATTACGGTATAAAGACTTTGTCCAGTTTTAAAAGTGCAGAAAGATATTTCTCTTATCGTCAATTCACGCACCTGATATTCGCCCAAAACTGCAATTTCTGAAGTTGGTTTTTGCCACACCACATCAGTTTCTGTTCGTCTCCACTCTTTGAACTGTCAAAGCGTAAAGAAAAACAATGACATGAACTGTCACAGCGTAACGAACAAACTGAACTGGTCAGCGTGAGGAACCCAGTCGGTAAAATAAAAAAATAAACAGTTACATGAACTGTCACAGCAAAGTAACACCAACTGTCACAGCAAAATAACACGAACTGTCACATTAAAATAACACGAACTGTCACCGCAAAATAACATGAACTGTCACCGCAAAATAACATGAACTGTCACCGCAAAATAACATGAACTGTCACCGCAAAATAACATGAACTGTCACCGCAAAATAACATGAACTGTCACCGCAAAATAACATGAACTGTTACCGCAAAATAACATGAACTGTCACCGCAAAATAACATGAACTGTCCCCGCAAAATAACATGAACTATCACATTAAAATAACACTAACTGTCACCGCAAAATAACATGAACTGTCACATTAAAATAACACTAACTGTCACCGCAAAATAACACGAACTGCTTGAAAGATGTCGTAGTATTTACACAGTCTACGCTAGACCAGAGTTATAATTTGTAACTACTTACAACCTAAACATGACACAAATGACATATTCTAACTACCTTGTAGACACCACCCTGGGCGTAAGCCTCGATCAGGATATAAAGTTTTCGCAGTCTGAAGCCCGTGCCGAAAAATCGTACTTCCGCTCTGTTGATGTAGTACTTACCTCCCTTGTACAAAGCGTTATCGGCGTAGACCTTCAGATGAAAATGAAATGTAAAAAAAATATTCTTAAATTGCCTATTATAAAATATATAGACTACTTATAAATCAATTCTTCGGACATTTCATTCCAAAATATGACTTTAAAAGATTTAAGCCAGCCCTTTCCCCAACACAGTTCATGCAATCCACCAAACGTAACATTTACAATCAAGTGTACGCATTGATATTCACAATATCCATTGCCGACAGTCATGTCTTCCTATATCCCTCGTATATCCCTCGTATATCCCAAAAGCCATATCTCTCAAAACTCGTTGCATATCCCAAAGGCCATGTTTTTCAAATTCCCTTGTATATCCCAAAATCCACATCTTTCAAAATTCCTTGTTTATCCTAACAGCTATGTCTATCAAATTCCCTTGTATATATCCAAACAAAAAATCTATTTCAAATTCCCTTGTATATTCAAACATCCATATCTCTCAAAATTCCTTGTATATCCCAGCAGCCAAGCCTTTCAAATTCCCTTGTATGTCCAACAGCTATCTATCCCAATGTCCAATGTAATGCCTACTCTGTCCCACGAAGCTCACTGAATATATGGTAACAAAAAGCCCGATTCTCCTAACCGACGCATCACGTGACCACAATGTCCAATGTCACTCCCCTATCCACGCCCCCTCCCCAGTTGCACTCCGCTCCCCATGTTGAGGCCCGGCACCCCGGGCGCTCACCTCAACTCTGTCAGAGGAGGGTGTCGTGTACTGCAGTATTCGATGTCGACATGGTGTCTCTATCGGAAGGAACTCATCATACAGGTTTTTCAAATGTGGGTCAGCCTGGACGAAGATGGCGCCTACATCTATAATAAATGAACAGAAGTCATTAAGTTTAGCATTCACTTTACCTTTAAACATTCACAATATTACTGCGTCTACAGTGACGTAGTTGTCATATTGTTTAAAAATATTTCATACATTATTTTCATTACATAGTCCTTGCAGGGGCGTCTATCCCCACCTCTCATATGTGGAGGCAAATCCCCCTCCACCATGGCCTTCGGCTTGCACTGTTTCTTTCCTACAATTTGTTCAAAAAAGTGTGTGTGGGGGGGGGGGGGCCTTTAGATGTTCTATTTTCCAGTACCAGTGGGGCTTGAAGGGTGCCGGAAGGGACTTGCAGGGGCGTCTATCCCCACCTCTCATATGTGGAGGCAAATCCCCCTCCACCATGGCCTTCGGCTTGCACTGTTTCTTTCCTACAATTTGTTCAAAAAAGTGTGTGTGGGGGGGGGGGGCATTTAGATGTTCTATTGTCCAGTACCAGTGGCGCATGAAGGGTGCCGGAAGGGGTGTTTCACCCTCATGGTCCCTTCTTTATTTTTCTGGAGGGGCAGCCATTTCAGCTCTCTGCAGAGTTTTTATCGTGGATGGGTGTGGCAAAGTTCTTGTCCCAACCAGTTTGACACTCTGAACCTTGTACTCCTTTTGGCAGTGCGTCTATCAGCGCTAAATTTGGGCATAATGACGACCATGGTTAGCTGTAACACCGCCCCACCATGCTTAACATAAACTAAATTCACACAGTTTTTGGCACGCCTAAGGGCAACAGCTCCCAATCTTATTTCACACGTACCCATCGATTAGACTTATATCGAAACATAGCTTTTCTTAAAGGAAGTGTTTTTTTTTTTAAATAATTTGTTTCCGTTTTACGCAATATCAATACAATTGTGTGTACCTCCAAGCGGTGCAATTAACGGAGACTGGGAACCGCTGCTTTTGGTCTCATGGAAACTTTGCTCTTCTTCTGTAATAAAATGGGCCGAGACTGTCATTTGAATTGTAAGAGGTAGGCCAGAAATCGACGGAGCCAACCGCCCCCATGCGAAAGTGGGGAGTGGTCGGAGCAGGGGTGGGGGAGTTAACGCCTGAAAATATCTGATTATTTCAAAATCAAGTTGTGCATTTTGGCGTATTCCTGAATTCAGTCTTTCTTTCGGGACAATTTGATCCAATGAGGGGACATTTAAGGAATGGGAGGGGGAAGAGGGAGAGGGGGGAGGGAGAGTGGCAGATGGCAGGGCATCTATCAGCATGCAAATTAGGCATTATGGCACCTAGTGCCATACATAACCTGAATTCATTCCCAGTTGTGTCACGCTACAGGGTATTCTCTTGGTCCTATCTTAGTTTCGCCCTCGCAGTGTCACATTGATAGGCACGGAGGAGGGGTAGTCGGAAATCGTGTGAAGCGGAGGGAAGACAGGGGAGGGAATATCTGAGCCAATCCGCAGAAAACATTTGGATTATTTCAAAATGTAGGGGTACATTTTTGTGCAAAACAGAATTTTGTTTTGCGCCACTCTACAAGTAATCGGAAAGCAACCGAATTTGGGCGTTACGCGACCTTGTGTGTTATGTAGCAACTTTAAAGACAAATACTTTTTAGTGCTATTAATAATTTTATCATCATGTCAAAGAAAATGTCTTATTTTTACCAATGGCCCGACGCTGTTCGATAAAATGTCTTATTTTGACTAATGGGACGGACCATATCAAAGAAATGTCTTGTTTTGACCAATGGACCGGTCAATATTAAAGAAAGCGTACCTTCAGCAACACATCCTAGTTTCCCGTTACCGATCAAGGGATGAGGACACAAACACTTCTGTCTGTTGGCGCTGCACGTGGCTGTACTGAGGCAGTGACGCTTGTTGCCACACCAAGGACCTGACTCTGAGGGAGAGACAAAGAACGGAATCAAACGAACTATTTGTAAACAAACATGCATAAAAACTTGAACCAAACACAATGATTTTTTAAAAAAAAAATGAAATTTTCGGAAATGAAACCAAATGGCAAGACTATAATGGAAACAACCAAAAATTCCATAAAAAATATTATTACTTCACATTAAAACATAATATGTCAAGCAGTTTTTCATTATTTAGTACCGGTACAGTGAATTCATTATTTAGTACCGGTACAGTGAATTCATTATTTAGTACCGGTACAGTGAATTCATTATTTAGTACCGGTACAGTGAATTCATTATTTAGTACCGGTACAGTGAATTCATTATTTAGTACCGGTACAGTGAATTCATTATTTAGTACCGGTACAGTGAATTCATTATTTAGTACCGGTACAGTGAATTCATTATTTAGTACCGGTACAGTGAATTCATTATTTAGTACCGGTACAGTGAATTCATTATTTAGTACCGGTACAGTGAATTCATTATTTAGAGTTCGACTCGCGAATCAGTCTTAAAAATGTTATCGACTCCGGAACCTGATGTTGATACAGATACAGCAAAAGAAATAAGACCCCCCCTACAGCCCCCCCCCCCAACCCACATAAAAAAAAAAGCAGGCTGCTGTTCTCTGAACTTGGAGGTCATCTTACCAACAATGACGTCAACACAATACAACACTTAATAAATGTGTCTTACTTCCCCGAGTCTGTGTTTGCTTCTGAGCTGCTGTCAGGTGGACAATCACCAGAGCTGACCACAACATCCACGCCGCACGGCTGACCATTGTGTTAGTTCTCTAGCGCAGACGTCTTATGACTGACCAACACGACCGACTGACCAATTTGTTGTGCTTTTCTTTTTCATACGAAACGTGCCACGGCTAGCGATGACTAAAGGCGTGTTTCACTAATCGAACTGCGGTATTGATGTTGGCTAATTACTTTCTGTTACCGCACTTGATGAGACGTCCAATATTCACTTTAGAACGAACCAAGTAAGACATGGGACCAGGGTAGGGCAACCTTTTGGTGCAAAATGCAACATACAAAGTTTCATTTTTAATTTGATGGGTCACATTAAATAAATGTTGACATACCAGTACGTCACATAATATGTCATGGTAATAAGGGGTTAGACTGCAGTCTTGTTGATCTTTTTTTTTAAATCTGTTTTTTCTAATTTTTTTTTCGCTGACGAAGGCTTCTTGCCGTTGTTTTGGTACGTTCCTTTTCTTTTAAGGTTTGACCTTACTTTGTTTTACTCATTGTTCAGATTTCAAAATGTATTCCGAATTCACATTTCGCTAATAGGCATTTGGGATAATTTATTTAATTTGCCGTACATTTTGTGATCAATTTTCAAAGGCTTTTTGCAGACAATCAGTCACAATTTTTACATTTTGCAAAAATGTTAATCCAGTTCTCGGATGGTCTTACGGGCCACATTGAACGTTTCAGTGGGCCGCATGTAAGCCACGGGCCGCAGGGTGCCCACCCCAGCATTGGACACATCTTTCCATATAAATCATACAGTGGATGAACCACAACAGTAAAAGGCCTGGCAAGATCTTCACTATGTTAGTTGCAGAGTATTGTCTTTTACCTCACCCACAGACTGTGATCAATTTAACAAGATCTTCATTTTAAAAAAAAAAATGATTGGGTGTCAAACTGATGGAGATTAAGAACCGCTGTTTTATAAATTGGTTTAAAGAACAAACTTTACTTATTGACAATCTCATAAATCTTAACCTAAACTCTGTAATTAGTTTAGGGGGTTGGTGGAAATAATGTATAGATATACCATGGGGGTGGGGGGGGGGAGGCTTTTGAGGTTTGGGGTTATGTGAATTAAAAATAGATTGCATTGGTAGAAGAGGGAGGACAGTGGTCCTCAAAAATTTAATTGAAATACACGTTTTTAACTCTTAAAACTGTTATTAACACTTGGGGTGTAAATGTGTGTATCAACCGTTAACCTCACTTGGGATCTAGATGTGCCTATTCGGATGTTATCATTCACTTCAAAAATTGAACATTTCCTTGTGAAGCCCCACCTCTTTCTTTGTTTGTCATTACGCCGCCGCTAATAAAGGTACCAATGCCGGTAACTATTCCATATCATAACAAAATGTTTATATCTGTAGTGAAACTAAACTATACAATGAAATGTTAGAAGAGGCGCATAGGCAGGTGGTTGAAGAGAGTGGTCCCCACGTGGCACTTTTTTCTTTATATTGAAAAGGAGCATTTTCGGCCAGATGCAAAGTTTATTTCGTGGAATTGGGGGGCAAAAAAGCTTGGCGTGTATCGGAAGTCATCAACCCGATAGCTCAGTCACTGCATGGCGGAGTGATTACCTTGTCGCCGGAGTCGTTCGAGTGTGCAGAGATACTCTTGATTTTGGGTGCTGGGTGAACGAATGGTCTAAACTGAGCAAATCTCTAGTTCTGGAGTTCAATTCCAGCCAAAAGCACATACAAGCAAAAACATCACCAGCACCCCGGGTGGATGGAACTCGTTAATCTTGGACGGCAACTCATCTAAGAGAAGGAAACTCTGAATTCAAACCCGGAGATGGAGTCCCGTAGGCGGATAACATTGATACAATGAAACAATCCGACAACTCCTGTGACGCCACTAGTGCCAAGTTGTATTTTCCACATGATGTTCCCTTTGGGCATCCAGTGGCGTGGAGAGAGGCGATTTTCTGTTGGGAACCAGCTTATAATCCTAGAAGGATAATACCAGGCCTTGTGAATTTCGTCCTGCGAAGTCTCCACCCTCGTCCCATTGTGACGGACGGATGCCAGCAGCACTCTTGATTTACATTGAGATCCATAATATTGATATCAATTTACTGGTTATATGCCATTATATCAGTGACCCTAAAAATTCGCCATGTTTATATAGAAACAAAGTATATGAAAGTTATTTTAACTATATAAACAAAGTATGTGAAAGTTATTTTAACTATAGAAAAAAAAAGTATTTGAAAGTTGTTTTAACTATAGAAAAAAAAGTATTTGAAAGTTGTTTTAATTATAGAAACAAAGTATGTCAAAGTTATTTTAACTATAGAAACAAAGTATGTGAAAGTTATTTTAACTTTAGAAACAAAGTGAAAGGTGTTTCAACGATTCTTTTGGTTTGTTGTTGTTAAGTTAAACCGGTTATAATGTCATGGTAGAACTAAATAGTTGTTTAAAAACAGATTTTTTAAAAAAGCATGGCTTCTTTTAAAAGGGTGACGAGACCCGGAAAAAAAGGGGGGGGGGGTTAACTGTTTAAAAATGGCCCCGATTCCTCAGCCGTTGTTTTGTAAAAATCATAGCTTTCTGTTGACAGGGGGAATGACCATGGACACCCAGTGGTGGACTGTAGTGTCCAAGCCATGCAGTTGTAGACGGGAGTGTCCAAGTCATGCAGTGGTTGACCGGAGTGTCCAAGTCATGCAGTGGTGGACTGGAGCGTCTGAGTCATGCAGTGGTAGACTGGAGTGTCCAAGTCATGCAGTGGTGGACCGGAGTGTCCAAATCAGAGACATGCAGTGGTAGACTAGAGTGTGCAAGTCAAGCAGTGTGGTAGACTGGAGTGTCCAAGCCATGCAGTGTGGTAGACTAGAGTGTCCAAGTCAAGCAGTGTGGTAGACTGGAGTGTCCAAGTCAAGCAGTGTGGTAGACTAGAGTGTCCAAGCCATGCAGTGGTAGACTGGCGTGTCAAAGTCAAGCAGTGTGGTAGACTGGAGTGTTCAAGTCAAGCAATGTGTTAGACTGGAGTGTCCAAGCCATGCAGGGGTAGACTGGAGTGTCAAAGTCATCAGGGACAAATATATGTAAATAGTGTCTTAATACGCCTTATTAAGTTTTATTGTTCTTATGCAAAGGCTTGTAAAAGCCTATGACAGCCTATGATGACCTGTGCCGGCATTTTAACGTCCTTTGACTGCCTATGACCCTTGTAATAAGTCTTACTTGTAACTAAGTTGTAACTTGACACATTTAACCATTCACAATAATGGCGCCTTTCTGCATATAACATTTTTTTTTAATTAAAAAAAAGACCTTTGCTCTGACAGATAAGTTGCGATAAGACCAGGTTGAAGTTCAGGCTTATCATAAGATATCTTAAAGTCTGACACCGTTACTGCAAAAAGTAAATGTCATATTGCTAGAACCACAGTCTTCTAAAACCATGTCTTCACCGAAACCTATACAAACTATGTCAGTAGTTTAGAATTTCAAATACCTTGGATTCAATATCTCTAATTCACTGATAAGCCCCTTCACTTCTGGCCCCCACTCACACGCTTAGGAAGGGGTTACCAAACTGGGGCAAATTACCCCGTAAGCTGGATAAAGATGAAATTCTTATGGGTAATTAGGGAGGCCCCAAGAGTCTTCTTTTTTTTTTTTTTAATTCTATAAATTCTGCAAGGGCGTATCTTATTACGACAGAACTTTTTAAATTCCACAAAACTGCTTCTGTACCTAATTTTTCGGAACAATTTCCCATATAAGGAAATTAAAAAGACCCCTGGAGAAATCGATTGAAAAATCCGTAAGAAATTTGGGATGTCCATAAAAAAAAAAGAAGAAATTCATTGTCCTTGAGCCTAGAGAAAACTAAAATGGAATTCTCAACTTTTTTCATACAATTTTTTTTTTTTATTTCGTTCGTGCTTTCTTTAAACGTGTATGACTATATGTAGGACAAAGAAAACAGATGATAATGTCATACAAAATGCAAATACTTTCGAACACAAGTAATAACTTGTCAAAAAAAAATCTTCATTGTAAAACAATAGTGGTTTATTTACTTTATAAATTATATGGTATAAAAATTTACATTTGGGTCAAAGATCACAAGAATATGGTTATGTCATGATGGGTGGTTAGAAGATGTCATAAGAATGGTTATGTCATGATGGGTGGCTAGAAGATCCCTTTACCATTCAGAATCTCGATTGAAATATAAACTAACCCCATATCATTCTACGACCAGATATGCATCAAATTATACGGCGTATGGTAAAAAGAAATCCCTAGAGGTGCAAAGAAGTATAAGACAGTGTCATGTATGGAACTCGTCGCATCAATCGTGACAGTATCTAAATTTAAGGACTGACTCAGCAAACTGTAGGTTGTATACATTTTTTTTTTTTTTAATCCTGTAAAAGGGGGCGAACACTAAGGTATAGGAGCTCAAATATCTAAATGCCGCCCTTCTGTAATCATCTACCGAGTCGCAACCATCGAGTAGCAACCACACCATCGAGTAGCAACCACCGAGTAGCGACCATCGAGTAGCGACCACCGAGTAGCGACCACCGGGAAAATGGTGTCATCGGATTATGAACGTCACAACATGGGATGTCGTCATTACTTGTCTTTAAGGGATTTGTCCAATAACCCCCCTCCCCCCCCC